AATGTATTTCAATGTAAAATAGGATAAAATACATGACGAAAACAAAAGACTTTACCTTACCTTCCAATGTTCAAGAGATGTTACTCGTTTTTTTAATAGTTTTCGGTTAAAATACTGTTATATTACAATGATATTATATTCATACTGTGCTTGATATACTACATTCACGGAAATGTAATATTTTTGCTGAAATGACGTACGTATTACAGTGGAAAGTGACGAAAACAATGCCTTTCGCTTTCTTTCGTTCAAAAGATGTTACCGTAATCGCTTTTAGAATGGTTTTCAGTTAAAAAAACTGTTGCATCACAAGTGAATTAAGATAGAATATTATTGTAATACAACAGTTTTTTAACTGAAAACCATTCAAAAAGCGATTACGGTAACATCTTTTGAACGAAAGAAAGCGAGTCATTGCTTTCGTCACTTTCCACTGTAATACGTACGTCATTTCAGCAAAATATTACATTTCCATATTCTCAGAAATAAATAGTAGTTTTGCTGAAACGTAATGCATTTCAATGTAAATTAGGATAAACTACATGAAAACAACAGACTTTACCTAGCCTTCCGATGTTGAAGATATGTTACTCGTTTTTTTAGTAGTTTTCGGGTAAAATACTGTACTCTTATATTAGTGATATTCTATTCATACTGTGCTTGATATAATACATTCACAGAAATGTAATATTTTTGCAACTACAATGCAATGTGTGTGTGTGTGTGTGTGTGTGTGTGTGTGTGTGTGTGTGTGTGTGTGAGAGGTTGCGGGAGCGGGCGGTGTCCCGTGTTCGGTGCCGCGCACGAGTTGAATGGCGCGCGATTTGAATATGCTTCAATTACTTCAATGTACAGAATATTCCTCCGGGGGGGCAATCCGCATATTTGCAAATCCGTGTATGCTAAACCCGCGTATGTGAAGGGCCGACTGTACTAGATTTTAACTTTTAGTAATAAATAATACCTCAGACTAAAGTTAGGATAATATAATTGACATTTCTGGATTCCTTGCAGGTCAGGGAATATTTTGAATGTAAACTTCATATATTCTGCACAAAGGATAAAAATATTTGCTTTGTGTAAACCAAATTATTACATTAGATCTAAAACTTGTATGTAATGCAAAATCCATGATGTTTTTATTCAAAATGATCATCATATTGTAAGAATTCCAGCAATGTAAATTATATTCTGGCCAGGTAATTTGTATGAATTTTATGAGCTAAAAAAAAAAAAAAATTAAACTTCACCGCGTATATGAGTAGATGCACCGCGGAAAATGAAAGTCCGGTTCTGGCAAGGTACCGCATAAATTAGAAATCGCGGAAAGTGAAACCGTGTAAAGCGGGGTAATACTGTAGTCTGGATTTACGCGGTTTTTGTTTACGCGGTGCATTGCCAGAATTAAATGTTTTAATTACACTGTAAATTTCATCATTTACACGGGAAGTGGCACAGGCAGGGTGCACACAAGGTCGCCCAGTCATCAAAACATTGCCGAGTTCTTCACCCGCCACCCACCACAGCCGGCCCAAGTCAGTGATAGTGATAGTGAGGATATGGACTTTGAGGGGTTTGACAAAGAGGCCCTGCAAGCCTCTGTGGTGGATAGTGATACAATTGATACAAGTGATACAGGTGAGGGCCAATAATCTGCCCTCTGCCTCGGAACCAACCCCCCATCCCCGTGTGCCTTGCCATGTTTTCTAATAACGTAAGTGTTAAAAAAACCTAATATTATTGATATTTCTCTTAAATATTAATTGTGTGTGCATACCATCATAAAATTAAGATGTTATTTTTACTACAACCTATGTATTGTGTCGGAAAAAGTGGAGTTTGGGAGTCAGCCCAGTCTCTATTTCAATTAATCCCATATGTTCTGTTATTTAGTTTACGCATTTCTCGTTTTACGCGAACCTCCACGGGTTCAATTGACCGCGTAAATGTAGACTATACTGTACTACAAAAAACAATGTTTTGTTTACTCTAGGAGATGGGCTGAGGTGCATCTGGGTAGACTCTCAGTCTTTTTAGTATTTTGTGTTTCTCTCAAGCACCAAACGAAATTATTCCATTAAAACAACATTTCGACTTATGCGAATTTGGTTTAAAGCGACCTCGCGACCTCTCTTGGAATGTATCTCGCGTTATATCGACGTTCTACTGTATCGGATTCTGTTAAATCGAGAACATACTATGTGTGCGTGTGTGTGTACAGTGGAGTATGGATTTAAGCGATTTTGGTTTACGCGTTTGGTCATTTACGCGATGCCTTGGCAGAATCAAAATGCTTTAATTATGCGGTAAATTTGGTCATTTACGCGGCGAGTTGCTGGAGGGTCCAGACACGCCGCGCCATTTTGGATTCAAGCGGCGCGAGTAAGGTTGACCAGTATGTCGCTGTTGTGTTATCGGTGACGTCATATGACGTATCGCACTGTGATTGGGCCACGCATCCTTTACCTCCCTTCCCCGCTAGCTGTGATTGGTTCAATGTAATATGACGTGCCCTGCCACCACAGAGAAACCATTACCCGGGTGAGTCGCCCTCTTCCCAGTCACCCAGTATAAACTGTGTTCTATTGTTACCGCTAATCTCATAAGAATGGCAGCCTCTGAACCCCCACCACCACAGAAAAACCTTGCATTACCTGGACACAGCCGCTCCAAGCCAAAGAAGATACGACGTGCCCTAAGTTACGAAGTTAAGTACAAGATCGTACAAGAGTTAGAAAAAGGAACGAGGCAAGTTGATTTGGCGCGCCAGCATGTCGTGAACGAATCTACGATCCGGACGGTCAAGAAGGATACTGCCAAGGTAAAAGAACACATGAGCATCACAAAGTCTGCAGGTGCTTCAATGGTGAAGTACTGCCAGAAAAAGGTGCTTCTCAAGACTGAGAATTTGCTTGTGAGCTACTCGATTCGTCCGGCAAGACGGAACATGGCGGTGAACGCGCGCTCAGTTCAGGGCTACGCACGTGAACTGTACATAGCAGTGGCATGTAAGATGGGAATTGCAGAGCCCAAACCCTTCACTGCGTCCTCTGGGTGGCTGAAAGGGTTTAAGAAGAGGAACAAGATCACCAACATTAACATTGCTGGTGAAGGAGCGAGTGCTGACCGTGTTGAGGCTAGTGATTTTCCTTCATTCTTACGTGACGTTATGGAGGAAGGACAGTACACCGATGACCAGGTGTTCAACATGGATGAATCCGGTCTGTTTTGGAAAAAGCTACCTTCCAAGACCTTCGTTGTTCAGTCTGCCAGCAAGTGTCGGGGCCGGAAATTGCAGAAGGAGCGCATCACTATCCTGTTTACCACCAATGTCTCCGGTACCTGTAAGCTCAAGTTATCGGTGATCCACACAGCCCGCAAGCCGCACGCTTACAAGAACATGAACATGACCAAGCTAAATGTCCACTGGCTAACCGCACGTAAGGCATGGATGTTCACTGCTCTGTCCCTCTCCTCGTTTAACGACTGTTTCGTTCCCGACGTCAAGAAATTCTGCGAGCAACAGAATGTTTCATTCAACATTTTGTTGCTTCTTGACAATGCACCAGGACACTCGCCCCTACTGTTGGATCGTCACCCCAACGTAAAAGTGGTCTTCCTTGCTCCCAACACTACGTCGTTAATCCAGCCCATGGAACAGGAGTTGATATGCAACGTTAAGGCTGCATTCTCTGCAAAGAAGTTTAAGCTCCTGAACGACTGTACCAACACCAAGGATGAGTTGCGTAACCTGGGTGACACCGACAGCGAGACGACGAGGACGAGGAAGAAGAGTTGGTGGAGCAAGAAGTTCACATCAAACAGTTTTGGAAGAAATTCAACGTCAAGCCAGCTGTTGATTTCTTGGTGGAGGCATGGGGGCAGCTGTCCGTGGCAACGATTCGTCACGAGTGGCGGCATGTGTTGCAAGGTATCCCAGGTGGGAGGCAGAGGCAACCTGTGACTGGTGAGGTTCAGTCTGTTGCAGTGGACCTTGCCAGAGAAGCTGAGCAGAGTGTTACAGCTGCAGGCTTCTCCGAGACCACCAACGACGACCTTATGGAGGTGATCAGGGATCCTGAAGTGACTGCCGACAAGATGTTGGAAGACGATCACGTCAGTGAAGATGCAGGTGGTGCGGCAGCCCGAGAAGAACACAAGTTAACACATGGTAATGTTAAGGATGCCATCGAGTTTGCAGAGAAACTCAAGCTCGTCCTTTCCAACGACCCTGATGATCACCGCTATGAAGTCTTCAATAATCAGCTGTTGCAGTGCAGTGTAGATTTAAAGAAAATAATCTTGATTTGCATCAAGTGAACTAAAATTTTATGGGTGAAATGACAGCATGGGATGACTTCTCTTCCACCCCAATGCCTTCTCTTCTCCCTTCTCCTCCACCCCCACTTCTAATTCCCATCATCATCATCATCATCAACCAGGAGCCTTCTACATGCAAACCTCAAAGTAAGTGTACTTTACTGCATTTATTTTTACTTTGTATGTAATTTTCGGTGAGCTGGAACCAATTACCCAAAAACCCATTGAAAAAATGGTTTCGGTTAAATTATTTTTCGGTTAACGAGCAACCTTCTGGAACGAATTGTGCTCGTTAACCGAGGGACCACTGTACTGTACATGTATAGAGTGGTGCCTGCTTTTCTGGACTCTTAATTTCTCATTTGCCGGAATAATTTCTTCATTCCCTTACAATGTATCCAGAATACAGTACAGTACAATATGTGAACAGCACTGATACAATATTTACTTCCAATCTGAGCACACAGTACCGTAGATATACTGGGGATGTGTGACTACTGTAATACATTACCCACAATCAACTGGGTGTTCAATGTGCATCTGTTTTATAAGTCTTAAATTGTATGACTATCAATAATTGATGGGATATTGGGTGCAGGACAGAAGACATAAACAAAAGAGTGTAAGTCTCCCATGGGAGTGATAGGAATACAGTAAGTCAAAATCTGGAGAATACTTACCGGAAGAACCTTCAGATCCATGCACAACTTGTGGTGCTGAAGATGGTGCTTTCTCAATATCATGCTTCAAGTTCTCAACAATATCCTAGGTTGTGAAAGAGAAATATTTTTAATAAATCCAAAGATTCATTGGTAACTACTTTCTTATTACTGTACAGTACTACAGGTTGTACCTCTCTAGTCCAGCAACCTTGGGACCTGACCGGTGCCGGACCATGGAAATTCACCCTTTTCCTGGATAGATAGAGACTTGTGCTTATGCTTGGAAGCACTAGCACCACTTTCTCTGCATCATGGTCTCTTTGAAGACATATTGAAGGGTTAAATGTCGTATAGTAGCTTCTCAAATTTCAGGAGTTTTTAATTCAACGTAGTTTATTGGAACACAAAAATAAATAAATAAAAATTTTGACGGCGGAAACTTGAATTTCGACGGGTTTGAACGGCCCGCCAACGCGCAGATGACGTGCATAATCGTGTAAACAGCGTCATTTCTCTTATGTACAAAAGATTCATTATTGTATATTACTGAATGTCTTTTTTATTGAATTTATGTTTAGGTGTGCAAAATGAGCAGTACAATTCATTAATAATACGTAGAATATTAAAACACACGAGGAAATGACGCAGCATTGTTTTCGTTGATTACAAAACCAGTGACTGACTGGTTCTACAAATAAAACTGAAGAAAATAAGACCTTGGTTGTATCTGTAGTAAAATTAATATGGTTGTTTTAAGTAATGTTATTTAATGTTAATAAATGGAACAATAGAAGTAGCTAACGATAATGGTAAAGAAAAAAGAGAGATCGCGTACTGCATGTAAGTGCGCACACGTGAAAACATATCATCATTACTTTACATAAGAATATGAAACAACACTTATTTACTGTTCATATATATTTTAATTAATGTTTCTGAATTTGTTTTTATTGAATTAACGTTTGTGTGTGCAAAATTAACAATACAATTTATTAATAATACGTGGAATATTAAAACACACGCTGAGACGAGACAGCTGCCGGCATTGTTTATGTTAAAGCTTACAAAACCAGTAACTGATTGGTTCTACATATAAAACTAAAGAAAATAAGACCCTGATTGTAGCTGCAGTAAAATTAATGTAAAAAAATTAATATGGTTGTTTGAAGTACCTGTAATGTTATTTAATGTTAATAAATGGAACAATATAAGTAGCTAACCATTAATGGTAAAAAAAAAAGTGAGACTGCGCGTATGTTAGTGCGCACATGTGAAAACATATCGTTATTACTCTACATAAGAATATGAAAGCAACACTTATTTACTCTGTATAGACAAGCAGAGAGAGAGAGAGCAGCCGAACTGCCAGATGTAAACAAACCTTAATTTCCCGCGGCTTTGTTTTTTTTTTTTATGGGGATTAGCCCACCCGGGCATAGGTCATAGACCCACATTGGGGCCTGAGGGGCAAAAATTTAATACTCCTGTAATAATAATAATAATTCAGATAAGTAAAAAAAAAAAAAAAAAAAAGCTGCCTATCTACCTATTGGACAAACTAAAATCGTTCCGGACCACGGGAGTTTCCGGACCACAGAATGCCGGACTAGAGAGGTACAACCTGTAATAACTTTCTTCACCACTATCAAAGTATCTTATACAAATACTTGTGCAGCACTAACTTGAACATTTGTTATTTCTCGGTAAAATGCAATTTCTGTTTGTCCATTTACGTTTAGAAACTAAAACCATTTTTTTTCCAATGGTGACATTGTGAGTATGAACACAGGTAAGCAGCAAACAGAATATTTTTGAGAAACTCTCATTACTGACCTTAAGCTTAGCTATCATCTGCTCTACAATATGCAGGTAAGTGGAGCTGCTACAATTGCTGTCATCCTCACGAATGTCATAAGTTACACTGTGACATTCTACCAAGTTTGTTCCTTCAGCCTGTAAATAAAAGGTATTACAGAAACATAGTTTTCAATTTCTTTATTTTCATTAGGAATGTTACTGTACTACAGTATACAGTACTGTGTACTTTTAACTACATTGAAAAGTCTAGTAACCATAAAATGCATTTTGACAGGGACAAGCAACTTCCTAATAAAGGTTTTTATATACAGTACAGTATCGGAGTCAGTGCTGGTTGAAAAAGCCAAACAGTTCTGTGCTCATTTGAAAATATTACAGCCATATCAGTAGCTACTCAGATGGCCCTTGGTAAACATATAAATAATAAACCCTATTTCAATACAGTACTGCACTGTATAATATTCATAAAACAACACGGGTAAATTTAGGCAATGTTAGGCTAATACTAATATTCTGGGTCCTCTTTCACTTTACTTTTATCCTCTTCGCCACTCATCGGCTCGTTAACTGCTTGGGTGATCAGTCACATCTCTGTTATGCACTGTTGGCAAGTACTAGGCATGCACAGGCTCCAGAATGTATCTGAACCTGCTCCAGTGTTGGTCAAGTCTGGTCTTGAAAGAGCTCACACTCGGTGGCGTCACAACACACTATACTAAAGCCTCAACTCCTCGGTCCCAACCATTGTGTAATACTGTATCAAGGTTTCACTGTACAGGTTGTACCTCTCTAGTCCGGCAACCTCGGGACCTGACCGGTGCCGGACCATGGAAATTGCCGGACCATGGAAATTCACCCTTTTCCTGGATAGATAGTGACTTGTGCTTATGCCTGGAAGCACTAGCACCACTTTCTCTGCGTCATGGTCTCTTTGAAGACATATTGAAGGGTTAAATGTCGTATAGTAGCTTCTCAAATTTCGCGAGTTTTTAATTCTTAACGTATTTTATTGGAACACAAAAAAATAAATAAATAAAAATTTTGACGGCGGAAACTTGAATTTCGACGGGTTTGAACGGCCCGCCAACGTGCATAATCGTGTAAACAGCGTCATTTCTCTTATGTACAAAAGATTCATTATTGTTTATTACTGAATGTCTTTTTTATTGAATTAATGTTTATGTGTGCAAAATGAGCAATACAATTCATTAATAATACGTAGAAAATTAAAACACATGAGGAAATGACACAGCATTGTTTTCGTTGATTACAAAACCAGTGACTGACTGGTTTTACATATAAAACTGAAGAAAATAAGACCTTGGTTGTAGCTGTAGTAAAATTAATATGGTTGTTTTAAGTAATGTTATTTAATGTTAATAAATGGAACAATAGAAGTAGCTAACGATAATGGTAAAGAAAAAGAGAGATCGCATATGTAAGTGCGCATGCGCACACGTGAAAACATATCGTCATTACTTTACATAAGAATATGAAAGCAACACTTATTTACTGTTCATATATATTTTAATTAATGTTTCTGAATTTGTTTTTATTGAATTAATGTACGTGTGTGCAAAATTAACAATACAATTTATTAATAATACGTGGAATATTAGAGGAGACGAGAGGCTGCCGGCATTGTTTATGTTAAAGCTTACGAAACCAGTGACTGATTGGTTCTACATATAAAACTGAAGAAAATAAGACCCTGAGTTTAGCTGTAGTAAAATTAATGTAAAAAATGAATATGGTTGCTTGAAGTACCTGTAATGTTATTTAATGTTAATAAATGGAACAATATAAGTAGCTAACCATTAATGGTAAAAAAAAAAGTGAGACTGCTCGTATGTAAGTGCGCACATGTGAAAATATATCGTCATTACTCTACATAAGAATATGAAAGCAACACTTATTTACTGCTCATATATATTGAAGGGTTAAATGTTGTACTCTGTATAGACAAGCAGAGAGAGAGAGAGAGAGCAGCCGAACTGCCGGATGTAAACAAACCTTAATTTCCCGCGGCTTTTTTTTTTTTTAAGGGGATTAGCCCACCCGGGCATAGGTCACTGACCCACATTGGGGCCTGAGGGGCAAAAATTTAATACTCCTGTAATAATAATAATAATTCAGATAAAAAAAAAAAAAAAAAAAGCTGCCTATCTACCTATTGGACAAACTCAAATCATTCCGGACCACGGGAGTTTCCGGACCACAGAACCTGTACTGTAAACAGTAGTACAACTATTGTTCAATGAAAAAATAAAACAGAAGTAGGATGTATGTATTAATGATGCATTAACAGTGTACAATACTTATTAAACATAATACAGTATTATACCAGCAAACAATATTTATCTTCTAAGAAACAAACCAATTTGTGAACAGGAACAAGTAGGTTCCACCAGGGAAGCAGGGCTACACCTTTGGGCAAAGAAGTTTAAAATATAACCTAAAACTATATTTTGACAAACTCACATGTTTATACAGGAGTTTAATTGAAAAAAAATAGTGTTATGGGGTCTAGAGTTTCTGTGAACATTACAAATTATAATTACAGTATATACGTACTGTACAGTATATCAATTTACTGAATACCCATCATGAAATTCTTTCTCGTTCTTAAATAGATAACCTACAACAAAATGATCAATGATAAAATGAGGGTAAATATTCATTTAATGGCTGTGGATAAAGACATTGCTGAGAGGGCCCGACTGTGCTCGGGAAGAACATCGACTGACCTGGCATATTTCTGAGAATGTTTTTACTCATATCTCCGTTAATACTAATTTGCCCACAAAAGAAATATATTCGTAACATTTTTTAATAATCCAAGGATAACCAAATACGAAAATCTTAACACAGTCATTAAATTAATACTAACCAAAATTATTTCTATGGAACAATATACAGTACTGCACAAAGAGAGATGATGGCAAATAATAATGTACCGAACGGTAATACTTGACGAGAGTGCTCTGGTGTTATAAGCAACCTGACAAAATTTCTCCATAGAAGATAAAACCATACAAAAGATGTAGGAGAAATGCATTTTATGTCATTTCACATTTGACAGGTGAAATGGGAGGAGGAAGACGGTAAACATGAACTTGCCATTAGCGCCAAGTTTAAACTGTAAGAGTGGTTCTTTTCACAGAAAGGAATTTTATTTTATTTTATTAAAATACAATAGGAAATAACTTAAGTATTCTACATTAGGGTAGGTTAGATTTGATAGTTTAGTATTCTTAGTTGGTAAAGGTGGAGGAGACAGTAGGAAATAATAATAACTTATGGAATTGAACCAAAATTTATGGAGATACTAACTGCATAATGCTGAACACAACAATGGAAGAGATAAAGCACACAACCTATTGGGACCTGACCTAACCTACTTAATCTCACCTCACTTCCTAACCTGTGCATTGTTATTTTGATTTTCTTACGATCATCCAAAAAACATCTCTAGAAAAAATTAATTAATTCAATGCAATATAAATCATAATAAACACATCCGATGAGATAGGCGTTCGTTTCTTGACATGTAAACAAAGACTGTGGATGCTCCCACATAGCAGATGATGTGAACCAAAACTTGGTCACAACGGGAGATGCAACAGCGCCATAATTACAGTAAATATTTTATATCTTTGTCTACAAAGGACGTAGAGACATGAAATTACTGCCATAAGATCAGTGTTCACAGTGTTTTTACCCCATTATTTATCTTTTCTTTCATGCCCTGCCAACTAAAAGGTAATTTATGATCGAAGGATCGACTAAATAAGAAAAATACTATGTATAATGTTGTCACTTAGATTTTATTACTCAGTATCATCCAAACAACATCTGAAAATTAGGGGCACTTCCATAAGTCCTTCTAGTGCTAATGGTCTCCTCCACTTTACCTCATGAAAGATAAATTATGTAACATTTGTGGTTACATGCTGAGAGTCAGGGGAGGGTTAATATTGTGGACTGACCAGCAGACAAGTTATTTGTTTTGCAGTTTACTTTCTTACTTTATTTTCATCAGCAAGTTCTGATATAATAATCATTTCTTGTGCAAATGCTTCGTGTGGTAGATAATTAGGCACCTAGGCGCACACTACGTGAACTTTGTCTTCTTGGCTGTAATGCGGCGGTGATGTCTCATCCCAGGATGTAAACGGCCAATCATATTGACGTATTTCAAAACACTCTACCGCCCAGGATGGATCAATGCCGATGCTCAGTGTATGCTTATGAGCCATTCGGCATGGGCGGCTGCTCTTAAGTCCACAAAAAAATACAATTACACTGTATCATAGTAAGTTCTTTCTGTTTAATATACAGGGGAGGGGGACTTCAGGGGACTCCAGGAAGTTAGGTAAGGTTTGGTAGGTTGGGTTGGTGAGGTCTAACAATGCTTCTGCTGCTTGTTTTTAATATAAATGAACGGTTAGGTTAGATTTAATTTAGAAATAACCACTTTTTAACACATTTGCACAAACTACAACAGTGTCCACCATAAAACAGCAAAATTGCGGCATTTTATAGACGTTTTCTATGAAAAATCGGCCACAGGCCAGTCGTCACAAGGAAAACTTCAGCCAAACCATTAGTATCTTAAACTGCTATGGGGTAATGATTTATTGAAATGATCAATAGTTGAAGTGGCGAGTGTGTGGATGGAAGCAGGTACAGTAGGAAGGCTTGACTGGTTAAAATCCAAAAATGAAGAACATGGAGGAGGAAAGAAGAGATCTGGCCATCCTTGGAGTCCTCTTCAACAAGGGAGGTAAGGCAGACCTTGCCTCAGTGTCTACTCCCTATTTCCCATATAACAGGAAAAGGTTAATTTCTGTTTATTTTCCAACAATAAATATATTGATAATATAGAACAAAAGGTAACATTTAAATTTTAATGTGTTGAGTGTTGATTGAGAAACTTGTGGCAGATGTTGATTACAGGAGCGGGGGAAGAGGAGTCACTCCCTCCTCAACCTCTAACACTAACATCCCCCTACACCTTACCTTAGCCTTGAGATCTACAGTTAAGTCAATCACCTTCTGAATAAATTCCGTGATGATATTAAAGGTGTCAAGCACTAAATGCTTCAAAGTTCCCATTTCAGCTCATAGCTTAACTTCCTCCTCTGTCCGGTGTGAGACGCAGCTTAATAAACTCACTTCCAATCTCAGGCAATGTTAACGACTTGTTTGTACAGATATCTTAAAAAAATATTTTTTTTTATAATTTTGCGAGATAAATTATAGTGTATTTTATTCTTACCTTAAAATAATAAGATTAATTTATTATTTTGTACTTATCTCATGCCATCAATGTTGGCCCAATGTTTATACAGGTTAACCAACCCTACCGGGTGTGTTGTTGTGGTGCGGGTGATGGAGGAGAGAGGCCCACGTCACCACCCACGGTTGGCACCCCTGAGCCAGCTGGCCCGCCATGCTGGAGCATCTCGCCACTTAACATACATTTAATACTTTTATAAACAAAATAAATATATTTTATTTTTTACATTTTAATGCGATTAAATTTATAAATTTGTTTTCTTTAAATATGTATTATTTTTATAAATTAGAGGTAATTATATTATTATTAGTGTAGGTTTTAGTTAATGAAAGTTATAGAAGGAATAAGAGTAAGAATATTGGAACTTGATTTGTTGTCGCCGGGTGTAGTGAAGGTGTCGCGCCGTGTGTCTCCACCTGTACTACTACCTCCATTAAGGTGTCGCGCCGTGTGTCTCCTCCTGTACTACTACCTCCATTAACCGCCGTGTGTCTCCCCTCCTGTACTACTACCTCCATTAAGGTGTCCCGCTGTGTGTCTCCACCACCTCCACTCATCACAGGCAAACATGGTCACCAAAGGGAAGCTAACCAAGGAAGAGGAACTTCTGCTTCAGGATTTTAGTAGAAATGTATCCAAGAAAAGCTCAATTATATTCTACTTCAATGCGTTAATTGTGTCTGCCATCCCCATCTGTAAGTACTAGTAAATATTGTATACTTTTGAGAACTGTGATAAAAGTATCCTATCTACTGAGGATTGACATGTTTTCTTACTTTTGATAATTGATGATATTTAGAGTAAGTTTCCTCCAGTGGTGATACTGACATATTAAGCCACAACGTAATGCCATACTGCTACTGAAGGGAGGCCCTGGATATTTGTCCTGACTGGCAAAGTTCGTATTAATGCTATTTAATTATGAGTGTGCTCTGATTGGCTAATCATCCGGTACTATTCCGTTTACACACCGTTCATTCCTACCACTAATCTATTATCATATTCGAATATGACGTCTAATGATAAGATAATTTTCATCTATTACATTACCGGCGGAAATGTATAATACCGGTGATAGCTTTCCCCCAAAAATTCTATTTTCTTCCATTAACCTCCCGCCATTATCGTCTGCCTCTCCCCCAACACTGGGTGTCTCTCGGTCTCCTTCATAAATCATGACGTGCATGCGTACCCTTACACGTCACGCGGCCAATCTAAAGGGTTTTTGCTTTTGGAACCAATTAAAATTATTTTGAGTTTAATTCGGAGTATATTTGGCCCAATCAAATTCGAGTTTTATTTTGGGTCTCATATTTTGAAATCTAAGTTCAGTTCCGACCATGGAAGTCTGCGGTGGATGTCACTTAAAGTATATGGAGCTGATTGAGAGTTTTTGGAGAAAAAAAAACGTAGAAACTATAGCATTTTTTCGATGGCATGGTGTTCTTCCAACCTCAGTAAAGTGTACTAAGAGCAAGGCAATGTAAATATCGCAAAGACCAACATATGTGGCGTTGGGTAAGAATCCCAAAATCCAACGATGAACAAGAACCAGGCCAATAAGCTGAGAAATAGGTGATTCCATCATATGGTGAGAGTCAGTTAAGTTAGGTTAGGTTTTTGTTTTTCTAGTGTTTTATATAGTGCATTATATATTGTCAATATGTAAAATATTTTTCAAAATGACCAATAATTTGCTTGGAAACACAGAAAAAAAGCGTTTCGTTAAAGAGAGTCTCAAGCAAGATGTTACCTCCAGTGAAAACAGAGAGAGACTAACTCCTGTTTGCTGTGTTAAGAGGCTGGATGCCGCGCATTAAACTAGTCACTTTACCTTCAATTATGTTCAATAATTGTTAAAGTGACTAAAAAATTGAATATTAAACTTTTAAAATTATTGAATAGTATAAACTTCCTGATATTTACTAAAATAGTAAGGAATTAAAGCCCTAGAACCGATTAATGTATTGGCGGACTGACACTAAAGCTGGTTGCCCGGTCAGTGCAAGCGAAAACATGTTGAGGTCGGTTCGTAAGAAATTCGTTAACCGAATTTTTGTTCGTTAACCGAATTGAAGATCCTTATGGAAGGCAGTTCGTTAACCGAGGCGTTCGTTAAACGAGGGGTTACTGTATAAATATATATATATATATATATATATATATATATATATATATATATATCTTGATAAAATCACACGGGAAAATGGAAACAACGGACCACCTTAGCTTTCGTCTTTATTCGAGACATCTTCAGAGGCAACTGGATTACATGGACAGAGAGAGGCTTAAATATACAGGGTGACCTTATTAAACATGAGGTCAGGTCATAATGATGTCATCCAATAATCCCCACACCAACACACACGTAGAGGAGCTTAAGAGAAGGGGGGTGACGTGACTAGTCAGGTCAGGTCAGGTCAAAAATAAGGGACCCACAAAATAACTATCATACATCTAGATCAAAGGTTTTCAAAGCATTTTTAACCTTGTGCCACTGACAAATAAATTTATGTAACATATCAGTTTTGAACTGACCATCACTTAGGTTTATTGATTTTAATTCCTTAATCAAACTAACTTCAACCAGAAGTCTTTCTGTGACACAAGATGATTTAAATACTTCTAAGCTTTTTTCCCAAGCAATGGGGTGATTATTATTCCTAACATGAACGAACAAGGCACTGCTTTCAGATGCTGTTCTGATATATATATATATATATATATATATGCAAGTAAATCACTGTACCGGCTCCAATCCTGGCTATAATTTACATTGGTTTTACATAATCACTCCTGAAGATGTGAATTACACGAAAGCGCTTGGGAACTTCGTGTTTTCTTGGATCATATATCTCCATGTACGCATATATATATATATATATATATATGCATATATATATATATATATATATATATATATATATATATATATATATATATATAATATATATTATATTTTATATTATCTGTTATATTATATATATTATATATATATATATTTACTAAAATATATTTATATAATATTTATACTATATATGTTATATATATTATATATAATATACGTTATTCACTGTATATATATATATATATATATATATATATATATATATATATATATATATATATATATATATATATATATATATATATATATATATATATATATATATATATATATATATATATATAAACTGTCTCATAAGTTGGGTACGAGTTATCTTGTACTTAATTGGGTAAGACTTGACATGTTCTGATGGGTACAAGTTGTCCAACACTGGGTGGGTGGAGATTTATTGGTCTAATATCTGTGGCGTTCCTCACTTATCCAATTTTTTCTGAAACAAACATGTTTCCAAGAGTCTTCAAGGGTTGAGGAATGTATATATATGAGGTAGAAATTGGGTAAAATTGCTGTTTTAGCCAATATGCCTAGTAGTTTAGAAATTAGTCTATTCTGTGTATTTTGGGGTTATTTAATCGAATTTGACATTTATTTCCCAGTGAAATACTCGTCTTAAACCCCCCCCCCTCCCCCCCCAATGAATGGAAAAACTTGAAAATTAATTTCTGACATTAGTTATTCTTTGTCCCCTGGTTGAAATGGGGTTAGAAATATTCCAAATAAGTAGATCTATGGGTTGGGGATGGTTAAAACAGTTGACAATAATACCAGAATTTGCCTGAAAGTACTGTAAGTGCTTCTATGCGATTTGAAGATGTGCTGAACTGTATAATAACCGAACTTACTATGATATGGTGTAATTTGAGTTTTTTCTGGACGAGAGACCAGCCGGCAGCATCGGCGCTTATGCAGTCTGGGCGGCAGAGTGATTTCTTATTGAGATGGCGGGAAACGGCAAGCCATGGTGTCGAGGAAGTGATGAATGTTTGTTTCCAATCAACAACTGACTTGGCACACAAATGCAGTTTTATTTCACAATATTGCTGTGAACAATGATTTCTACTTAGAGGAACAATGCCGTGGTCTTTGAAAAACCGAAGGGTCTCGTTGTATTTATCCCTAAAATTGGAAATTACCTCCATAAAAGACCCGCGACAACCTTCACACGTCATGCTGAAAATAGCATCAGCGGGAACTTTGGCTGTCACGGCAAAATATCCATTACGTAAAAAATTAATGATTTCCGCTGGATTAAGATTAGTCAGTGGACATGAACAGAACTCCAAATTCATTTAGTAGTGTATGAGGAAACTGCTACCACCAGGAGTTGTTTGATTTTGTTCATTTTTCCACATGTTCTTATTTTAGTAATTTATTAGAGGAGACTTCTACGTGAACCTAATAGAACCAACCAAATAAACCTAGCTAACTTCCTAGATGTGGGGCTAACCTCTCCCATATTAAAGAGAAAGTACTTATTTTGATATCTGGTACCAAAGAAAGCAACTTTGTTGAAGCATCATGGTGTAATTTTACGTTTTTTATGGATGTGAGAATACAATCGGATCGAGTGGGTTGGTTGTAAACTAAATGAGCAGTTGACCACGCACACACTGACCCAGCAGATTTTTTTAGGAGTATTTATTGTAAATAACTATTTTCTTCATGTGCAAAACACGTATAGACATAATTTTAGTGTCATATGATCAGTTTTTCACCATGTTTTACCCTGCAATTTCCCTCATCCTTCATGCCGTGCCTACAATTAGTGATTTATGGTCTTGGATAGTGAAAAATAAGTAAATGACATTATCACTTGACAGAAGTGCAAAGAATGAAAGTTAATCATAATGATGAGATATATCTATTGCATGTGTTGAAAATACCAGATTTCATGGTTGTACAAAACTGAAATAATACCAAAGTTTTACTTTCGGACAACACAGGAATTTTATAAATTTTATCTTTGCAGTCAGTAGTTTAGACAATTATGACCCTTTTCTTCTATGACGTTTCCCTCACAAATGACCTGACCTGACCTAACCTCTAACTGGGGGGTCCACCCCCCTCTCGACATATGCAAGTCATTTGTGAGGGAAATGTCATAGAAGAAAAGGGTCTTAGAATTGTCTAAACTACTGATTCCATCAGTTAAATTACTAAGATTCCCCAAATGATCAAAAATAAAATACAGTAATACCAAAATCTGAAATACCTTTTTGTTATGGGATTAGCCCACTAGGGTACAGGTCAATGACCCACATTAGGGTGTGGGGGCGAAATTATAATAATAATAATAATAATTAATAAAAAATTTGAAGAAATATTTTTTTTTTTTTTTTTTTGCTGGGAATAGCCCGGGTAGAAAATAAGAGTAAAAAGACATTAAAATACAAAAGAAAAAGATTATATAAATCTACACCACGAAGATGCCGGAAAACCAGCTTTCTGATGTGAGAGATTGTATGAGTATGGAAACACAGAAAAAGGCAGAGTATTCCACAATTTGACTGTATGAGGAAAGAAGGATGTACTATAACAGGTTATTCTAGTGTGATTGACATCCACACAGAAGCGGTGGGCACTGCGAGTAAGACTTGTGTTACAAGCCCACGACCTTGCGGCGGTACACAGGATGCCAAATCCACCGAACATTGCCTGTTAAAGTACCTGTAAAAGAGAGAGAGAGAGTGAAGCAACATTGCAGCGAAGAGAAAGGAAGAGTAGATTATCAACTAAAAGAGGAGAGTTAATAAGACGAAATGCCTTTGATTGCACCCTATCTAATAG